ATCACCATTTTGTGCATCTTAACTAGTCTGATTATTTTGCTTCGTGATGGGCTGCCTTCTGTAGCTGTGTTTGAAACAGGAAAAGGGCATTTTGGACTTGGTATCAAAGCGAATTTTATATTCTTACAGTGAGCAAATGTACTGCCACTACTGTGCATCTGTCTGCATGTAGCCTTGAATCTCTGACAGCAGAGGAACGGAGAGGAGATAAATTTTATTGCAGGTCCCTCATTGAAAATGTCTACTGCAGCGTCCTGTCAATTGACCCAAAGGTCTGGTGTCTGGGATGCCTCAGCTGACTGAGAAATGGTCTATTCTCCAGCTAGAACCAAGATTTTGCATTTTAAAGGTGAAGAATAAGCCAACAAAAAAATGGAAATTTGAAGATCTAAAACCTTTTGTTTGTTCCAGAGGAAATGCATACAAATAGACAACGAAAGCCTTTAGGCAGTTGCTCCCAAAACTTTTTTTTAGAGAGACTTTCTCTTTAGCTGTATGTTATTTTCCAAAAGAAACAAAGTTCGTTTGTCTCACTCAAAGGTTGGTTTTGAAGGCTGTTTCCACCATTAGTCTGCAAAGTACTTCCAGCTGTTTCAGTCAACAGTGCATTAATGTTGCACAATAAGCAGCAAACGGCTTTTGTCTAGGATACATCCAGCTAAGGAACTCTTCTGGGGTTCATCATGGTGCTATTTTTTTGGGGGGGGCTAAAAAGCTTAAGACAGTTACACTTCTCAGTGATGGCAAACTTAGCAGTAAACAAAAGGCTTGAAAGAATACTAGCCAGAAGCAGCACCTATTGCATTAATTTGTTTTACTTTAACCTGATTTCTTTCATATTATAGCTAACACATTTTCATGTATCCATCAAGTCATAAATTCCAAGCTATACTGGAAGGTGTTTCATGAAAAATGTGTGTGTTAATAACAGGGAAAAAGGCTTTAAAGTGAGGATAACCTAGAGAGACGAAGTTAAAAACTATCCCCAGAATATGATTTTATATACACGAAAGTGTATGTATGCAAATATATATTATATATATATAATAATTAGTAATTAGTAAATTTATTAGGTATCTTTATGGGTACTTGTACATGTTTAAATATTGCATCTAGGGGTACGTATAACTACCAGACTAGTTGTGTGTAGCATGCCTATGAGAGACTTTCTCATTGCTTGTTTTCCTTCTGTGGCTCATACATCTGTAGCTTTCTAGCCTCTCAGTTTCTGTTGGTCACTAAATCTTTAATCTAATGACCTGTTTAGCATATGGGATTGCCTGACCCTTATCAGGTGAATAAAATTTAAGATGCTTTCTTTTATACTTTAGTCAGAGTCCATATTATATTAGCCAGTATGCTTAAAGATATGTGATAAATCGGGGGGGGGTGGGGAAGCCTCATGTCCCTCCATCAAATTATACAATATTAGAAATTATAAAAAAAGTGTACATTTTTAGGATCTTAGAGGAAGTTCATAACAAAACCTCTGCTAGCTCTCAGGAGGGATTAAAACTTTGCCTTGAAGGCCAATTTTGGAGAAGTAATTCCCTACTAGGCAGGCCTTTTAACGTAATGGATTTCTTGGGTCCTCTCACTGAAGCAAAACCATATCCGAGTATCTCAGTTTTATACAGTTTCATGAAGCTAAATTCTACCTTCTTTGTTTGGGTAGACACACACCCTGAATCTCTGGGGGGAAAAACCTTGAACTACTATGTTTCTGTTGGTACAACTCCCTTCCTGTTGCTATTCATAACTATGAATAAATTAAGTCTTTAAAATCAAACTAAAGAAACAGCTGTTGGTCATTGCCTTCAATTGCTTTTAAAACATTGATTATTTTAATTGTGTTTCATAATAAATCTGCTTGTCAGATATCTTTCAATATTGTAGAGAAGTTTTAGAATGCAGCACAGGCTCCGCCGTCTCTTCCGTGGTAGGTGTGTCTATTATATGCACAGTGGAGCCTAGCTATAAATGCTGTTGTGCTAAATACAGATCATCTTGCCCCTATTTTCTAAAATTACACAGTGAACTTTGCCAAAGTCTATTGATTATTTTTTAATAGGTTAAACATGTTTTTTG